TAACCCCTAGGCTACCAGGGAGGCCCATTATCTTATTTTCTATTACATTTTCTGGTTGAATATTGCTGATGTAGAAGAATGCTACTGAATTTTGTAAGCTAATCTTGTTCCTGACATCCTTGCTGAAAGTTTTTCTATTCTGTGAGATTTTCTGTGTAAATAATCAGATCACATATAAATAATATTTTTGTCTCTTCCTTTCAAGTTCTTATACCTATTACTTCTCTTTCTTGTCTTGTCACTTTGGCCAATCTCACCAGTACTAAGTTGCATGGTAGCATTTCCTGTTCTTAGAGGAAATATGGATCTGTCTTTTTCCTATCCCCATGGATTAAGTCTCCCTAATGCAGGCACAATTTCCATCTCCTGCTGGTGCAGAACTGACAGTTCTGTTTTGTCTTATAGTGGAATTACAAGGCATGGAAATGTAAGGGAGAAAAAGAGCCCAAGATAATCTTCCCTCTTCCCCTATCAACTACAAACACATACACATACATATTCCCTGGGATTCAAGTATTTGTATCCTTCTAGAAGTTTCTCACAGTTGTTACACTAAATACTCAAATCCACCAACTGCCCCATCTCTGAGCCACTGCCAGGCCTGGGTTGAGGGGAACAACCAGTAGCCTAAAATTAGTTGCTATTTTGTCAGGATCCAGAAGTCAGAATGATATTTCCAAAGTAATTATGATCATAAAAATACTTTAATCATAGATTGTTGAAGTCCCTCATTGTAAATTCGTTAATAATAGTATTTAGAGGTCTTGATAAATGGACCTCACTACCTTTTACATTTACTATAACATACCCCACACTCAAACCACCCTGAGGGATCTCCTTTTCCTGGACATATATAATTAAGGCTTATCTGATCACCATATAGTTCCCTCTCCATGGAGTTCTCTTACCCTTTCTTCATATTGAGAAATTGTACTCATTCATGAAGGCTCAGAACAAAAGTCATCATCCTTATGAAGTCTTCTCGAGTTCATCCCATTGGTGTAAATCATTCCTCCCTCATGTTCTCCATATCACTTATCTGTCAGATTTGCCTTATAGGGTATTATTAGTTATCTGACTGTCCCATTAGATATAACCTCCAGAAGGCAAGTACTGTGTTTTATTCATGTATCTGCCACAGTTCTTCACACTTAGTAGATGTTCAGTAGATGTTTATTCACCAAATTAAATTATAGGGATCTCCAACTATAGGAAAAAGAAGTTGCTAGTAGGGATGAAGTAATGCTTTTGCCAAATCTTGGCTCCAGTAGGAACAGAAGTAGTGTTATTTTTAGTAATACTCAGTAACACACAAATAGAAAAGAGAACAGACACAGTAAACTCCTAATCATTCTCTTTATTATCTGTCAAATCCTTCAAGTGCTAGAAACAGCTATTCAACCTGTGCAGTGCTGAGTAACTATTATGAACAAAATGTACCTGCAAAGTCTACACCCAATTGTGGGAGTTAGCATGTGGCCAGATATTCCTGGGTCTCTGCTCCTGAAGGTTATCCCTACTTATATCATATAATAAGTGTCCCTATACATAGCCCTTCACATGTGCCTAAATGTTATGAGACAAATGGAAATTTATTTTGAAAAAAAATTGCCTTTTTAGATAGGTGTTTCACCAAAATGGAATAGATTAGTCATGCTGCTGAAGATACATGAAAATGTAATTGAAAAACTGAAGTAAAATTAATGTTTATATTGTCCCTTTTTCTTAAATGACAGACAGCAGTTTCTTTCGTGTGTTTATTCTTTTTGCATCCCTTTGTCATAGGTAAAGAAGTTACTGTTAACAATTTGTAAAAGCTGAGATAAGCAGAAATTAGTTTTCTTCAGGAGATTGCTGCAGCTATGGTCCTTAATTTGTTCAGACCTCCCTGTATCCATATTCTGGGGTAAGACCTCTCACACTGACTCTAGGCTTGGCCATGTCATTTGTTGTGGTCAATGAGACAAGAGCAAATGTCACACAAGCAGAAATGTGGAAGTACTTACATATTAGAGCTTGTCCTCTCTTATTGTTCTTTGGCACTTTGAGACCACCATGGTGAGACCACCATGTGAAGTCTGGGTTAGCCTGCTGGAGGACGAGAGATCACATGTAATAGAAACATGTCACCCCATCTGAGTCCCTGTCAATCTGCGGTGTGTGAGGAGGCCAGCCAACCCCATCTGAACACTTACACACCTCAGAGCTTGCCATCACCAACCTAGGTCAGAAGAACAAGCCAAATGACTCAGTGAATCTTGAAAAATAATGAATATGTAAGCTACAAAACTTCAGGGTGATTTGTTATATAGCAAAACCCAACTGACATTCCTCAGGAAAGCCCACTCAGGCTAGAATCTAGATGTCCTGGCCCCAGGTTCCTGTTCACTTGGTGCTACTCCTCTGCCTCAAAGGTATGCAAAACATAAGGATATCATTTTGGATCTTTAGTGTGATCCAGGCCTCTTCTTGAATTTAAGGACAAAGGCCATGCCTTGATTTATCCAGCTGGCCTAATATATTGCTTTATTCATAAAATACATTCAGTGAAGATTTTAATTTTCTTTCAATGGTACAAAAATTTAGTTATTTTTATGAGGTTGAAATGGAAATCTTCATATGTTATGTATAACTCTCAAAATTAATAGAGGGTGCAGAAATTTCTAGTTACGAAGAAGATCTTAGACTTTTTAATAATCTTTCTTAAGAGAGAAAAGAGAGGGAAAAAATAGCAGAGACCATGTCTCACTCATAGTTTTGTCCCCAAGTCCCAGACCAGAGTCTAGCAGAGTCACTAGCTGAACAACTTCAGGGATCACCATTCGCCTTGAAGTTTAAGTGGGTAGGACCCCCCAGAGTTGTGCAGTTCATAACTTATGCTGCTGTACATGAGGCCCCTGGCTGACACATGGTAAATATTGAATGAATGAATGAATGAATGAATGAGCAAATCAGTGAGCTACATGTGTGCATCCACATCATGTGTGTGGCATTTATCAGATTTAACTAGAAAGAAAAACAAACTTGAATGAGTATCCCTGTTGAGTGGGCTCCCAGAGCACAAACAACTTACTTTTGGTGTCACACAGTGCGAAAATATAGCCAAATAAATTTTTTAGATCAAATGTAAACTCAAAGAAAAAACTTCTACCAAAATTTTTAGGTTAATGTATATATAAATGCATTTTGGCTAATGGTGACACCTAGTGGTGCATCAAGTGTGGGTTTTCCTTGGAGTCAACTATTTTGTTTTGCTCCTCACAGTGGAGGAGTCCTTGGTTTCATGGACCCCCTGCTCCCTTCACAGAGTATGTAGTTAAGGCTCGAGGGTTTCCCAAGGTCAGCGGGTGAGGTATTACTCTGAAAGTTAGCTGTCTAGGGGCTGGTCCAGAACTGCTGTCGCTGACATCTCAGAATAAATACCACAAGTGGTGGGGAGGTCCCTGGCAGTGGTCAAGGTCACTCAATGTCCCTTAAGACAATTGTCCTCAGCTGTCTGTGCCCTTCCACTTGTGTCTTACTCTTTTCCCACCTCCTCCTGTCACTGCTTCTATTTATCCATTTCTTTTCTTTTCTTCCCTTTTCCTTCTACTTTGGCACAACCCAACAGCTTTTCTTTCAGCTCACTCTTCCTTTCTCCTGCCCTTCCTTTTTTCCTCTTCTGCTTTTGCTTTTCCCTCATATGTCCTCTCCCCTTTTCATCCTCTTCTTTCTACACCCATTGATGCCTCCCAACCACACTGCAAAGCCCAGAACTTCACTGTCCAGGTGAGCCTAGCTCCACTCGATGACTATGACCAAGTGAAACTTAGAAAGTAACCCCACAGTTGCATTAGTCACATTTCACATTTCAAGTGCCCAATAGCGCAGGTGACTACTATACTGGAGAGTGCAGAACACGATCATTTCCATCATTGCAGAAGATTCTATGGGAAAGGACAGGTTGTAGCTCAGTTTACCTACTCTCCTCTCTCTCCTCTCTTTTCCTTCTCAACACCACTAAGTGGTAGTTCTTGAGACAGTCTCCTTTCTGCTCTCCGCCCTCTCTTCATGTTCACTCCAGTTTATTTGGTGGCTTTCTCTTTTCTATATATTATTATATAAACTCGTTAAGATGACCTTGCCAAGTGAACACCAAAATATATAATCATATTGGACAGTTTATTTGGGACAGTCAATGATTCACAGCATCTTGTTTGCCATGCATTGGAACACATCAAAATATTTTTAAACTCAACACATCAACACATCATTTAAAACAATTATACCCCAGGCCTTTTCTGTTCCTTTTTAATCCACAGGTCTCTACCTTTCTACCTTGTCCTCAGTGAAAGTAGCTTTAAAATTGAATGGTACATGTGTTTTCTTTAGTGCTTAAAAAATAATTTTATGCATAGAGTAGCTTTGAAATAATGCACAGGAAACTGTTTATAGATTGGTTTGAGGTTGGGATGGAATGGACATTTATTTTTCATTGAATACCTTAGTATTTGAATTTTTACTAGATTTTAATGTGTGTAGAAATGTTTTAATTAAACTGAATTCTAAATTACTTTTAAGTTTAACATATCTAGAAATAATGTCACAACCCTGAGAAGATCAACCCAAAGACATTTCCAGAAAATGAGCTCTCAGAGAGGTTATTTCTAAGTGATTCTGCAAAGTTTGAGTGGCAGTGTGCCTCTTTAAAGAGAGGGGGATTGAGCACTGCAATAATCTTAAATTTATGTGCAGAGACAATTATCCAAGAAACAGAATGGCCTGACAAGCTGTCCTCCTGGCTGTTAATAGAGACTTGCTTTTTAACAAGAGCCCTCTTTTTCCTTTCAGCCTAAATTAAAGAACATTGACTGGGAGTCTGGCCCTTTGGTGCCCACCTCAAAGGGGTGGAAAATGCCAAATCCAGTTGGAATCTCCCTTCCACGGAAACACTCACCCACTTCTCTGCAAATAGGCTTGATGAGCAAAATGAAAGTTACCATTTCTCTTCCTTTTCACAGTTCTCCTCAGCTAGTTATGGCTGCTTGTCCTTCTTGGTGCCACTGGAGCTTCAAGGAAGAAGAGGATGGAACTTGAGACCTTACCTAACTTCAAAGCTGGTTTCAACTCAAGGTACTTTGAACCTTAGATTTATGTAACATTTACAGAAGAGTCTCATATTTCTTTAAAATAAAGATTTGGGGACCAGGATAGAACTATCAAGCCTGCAATATTTATGACGGCTATACTGCCAATTTGAGAGAAGGGGAAACTGAGGCAGGGTACAATTAATTTGGTATGAACTGGGAGCCATACTCACCACTCTTTACTTCCAATAAGGCCACATGGCACCAAAACCATATAATCATATGCCTGGACCAAACTGTGGCATCTCTGTGTGGATTCATCTAAATAAAGCACTGCCTGGACCATGCCACCCAGGGGAGTTGCTTTGGTTTGTGGTTCTTGCTGACTGTGGACTTCTATGGTGCCAGCCTGGCCTTGGGCGGGATCACGGTTCTCCTCAAAGAACAAAGGTTGACGTTTATGCTCTGTTGGGATATGCAGGAGTCAGTTTTGAATGCAAGGCTCTCTGGTACTCTGTGTTGAACAAGCAGCAGCCCATTCTTTCGGCAGAGGGCCAGTCACTGTTCCTACTCCATAGTAGACTGGCCATGAGAGAGGGAAAGCTCAGGAACATCAGTGCTACAAGGGCCCTTAAAATGCTTCTAGTTTACCTCCCAATGTAAAGAGAGGGAAACTGAGACCCAAAAGTTCAAAGGTCAAAGGAGAAGATTATACGAGGGGATCATGGTGCTGGAGCCACCTATCAGGTTTCCAAAGCCACTTGGTGCTGCTTCCCCTCCTCTGTCCCAGCAGGCTGCAGGCTTCTGTACAAAGTTTTCCCTTAGTCTTATGGACAGATACAAGTACCTTCTTCTTTTTTTTTTTTTAAAGATTCATCTATTTATGCATAAAAGAACTGGGGCACAGGCCAGAGGTGTGGGCGGGGAAAAGGATTCACCAGAGATACATTGGGGAACAGAACAGGCAGACTGACTGAAATACACTGACTGAAATACTCTGGTGAATCCTCTCAGGGGAGCAGCAGGCAAGTCAGGGGAGGTCTGTTACACCATGTGGGCAGCCCCCTGGCCAAGGATCCAACCCGTGCTGCAGCGGCTGTGGACAGCCTCGTAGGTTCTGTCCTAACCCCGAGTACCTTCTTGATGTTCATTCCTTAATGTAAAGGCTGGCACACACCAGAGATTTCCTCAGTTTGTGTTTTCAGGTCAGACTTTAAAGGTATGTCTGTGCTGTCTAATACATTATCTACTAGCTACACATGGCTACTGAGCTCTTGAATCGTAGATAGTACAACTGAACATGTGCTCTAACTATAAAAAACACCTCACATTTTGAGGACTTGATATGAAAAATACAGTTTTATTACTAGTTTTATATTGATTACATGTTGAAATGATTTTTTAGATGCATTGAGCTTATAAGATGTAGCATTAAATTTAATTAACCTGTTTCCTTTTCCTTTTTAAAAGGTGACTACTATAACATTTAAAATGACATGCATGGTTCATATTACATTACTATTAGATAACGTTGAGCTATACGTATAGATCCTGCCTTCCATGTTACAATTAAGACACTCATATTAAGTGTAATCACCTCATATACATACATTTAACATAATTGCACTGGATGGAAGCGGGGAGGTGGGGAGACAAGCAGGGCAAGTGACTTTATTTGTACCCCGAGTGAACTTGAAACAGGATACAACTATTCCATTGTCCCCTTGGGTGATCCCAGTTCCTGTGTTTGACTCTCATAGAATAAGCATCTTACTTTTCTAGAGAAAAACATCCAGTGTTTTTTCCACCAGAACCAACATGGATAAAACTTAAAAACCTAACACTGAACAAAGAAGAAAAGTTGTAGATATATACAGATGATTCACGTTACACAAAATTGTGAAAGTGTGACACTACATATTAAATATAGACATTCATGGGAATAACAAACAGCAGTTAGGGACAGTGATACCCTCTGGGGAAGGAGGCAAATGTGACTGGGCATGGGCTTTCATTGTATCTATAATATTCTCTCTTTAATAGGTGGTGGCATGCAGTTGTTTGATATCTATCATTTGTATAGACTGGAAATATTTAGTAATAAAAATGCTTTAAGATGCATATTTTTCACAGATTGGCTGCGTACTAGAAGAGGCAGTGTATACTTTTGTGTGTGTACATTTATTTTCCTAATATTGCTGCTGCAAATTCCTAGACTTTCCACTATTAATCACCTTAAAAATCCCATTTCTAATATAGGGAACATCCAAAGTAATTGCCTTTAAAATTTAAGCAACTACTTTTACATTAAAACACACATATAAAGGGCCTCCCTAGTGGTGCAAGGATTTAAGACACAACCTACAAAGCTATCCGCAGCCACTGCAGCACTAGTTCGAGCCCTGGCCAGAGAGCTACCCACATGGCACAGCAGACCTCTCCTGAATCACTGCTGCTCCCTTCAGCAGTGTATTTCAGTCACTCTGCCTGTTCTGTCCCTCATTCTGTCTCTGGTAAATCCTCTCACCCCCACACCTCTGGCCTGTACCCCAGTTCTTGTATTCATAAATAAATAACTCTTTAAAAATAGATTAATTAAATTAAAACACATATATGGGGTACACACATTGCTTCACTTATCTATTGTTACATATTAGTGGCCTAAAAGAAATTTGTTTATTGTTTCTCACAATATTGTGGCTGAGCTGGGCAGTGGTTCTTCTGGCCTCACCTGGGCTCATGTTGCAGCTTTTCTCAGCTGGAACTCAGCAGAGCTGAATGGTCCAAAATGGCCTCACTCATGTTTGGTGGTTGTTTCTGGGCTATCTGGTCTCTCCTGCAGGCAGCCTCTCATCTCCAGTGGGGTAGACTGGCTTCCTTATAATGATAGTCTTGGGACAGTGTTCTAAGAGACAAACGCAGAAACTGCAAGTCCCCTTGAGGTCTAGGCCCCTGAAGTCACAGGATGCCAGTTCAGCCACCTGTTTTTGGTCAAAGCAAGTCATAAGGCCAGCCCAGATTCAAAGGTTAGGAGGTAGCTGCAACAAATCTGTGTCTGGAATTTATCCACCACAGACATATTAAAATATGCATTTAATATTTTGAAATAGACCAACTTTCTGCCTGCTTGCATCTATGTAAATGTCTTCTCCCTTTCTTCTAATCAACTTAGATCTTTGGATATAAAAAATATATACATTGAATATATATATATTGAATATATATTTATATTATATTATGCATATTATATAATATATATGTGAGACACAGAAAACTGTCCCCATTTCTAAACTTCCCTTAGTTGTTTATAAGGAAAACATGTATTCTTCTAAGTGCAAAAAGTTTCCAGTCTACTTAAATCTAGATAATCTTTTTTAAATGAAAACATAAGAGAGAAAAAAATCAACTCTCTTTTAGAGGGAGTGATGAGTCCCCAGCAGGGCGCATCTGCTACCACTTAATGTTTAACTGTGTGAGCCCCAGACCATGTGAACGGGTAGGAATTTGTAGTTTGGGACTTAATAAGCACGATCTATGTTCTCAACTAATTTATGGTTGATGAGGAATGTTGTATTTCTGGAAGACAATGTGAAGAGCATAGGATAAAGCTGAGGGTATCTAAGTGAGGGAAAGGGCGGCATGTGGAGGGGCTCTGCCTGTGCCTCTGTGTGGCTGGGTATTCATGACATGTTATTGTTACTCCCATGAAGAGAGCCTAAAAGAAAAGTGTCCATTTTGCGTCACCAACAGAAGGTGTGGAAGGGAAAAGGGAGGGGAGCACAGCTAGAGTAGGAGAAGATTAAATGTAATAAAAAGTACAATTTGTGAAAAGTAATTACTTCCCCCCCAAAAAAAATTAGTGTAATTTCGGAAGAATTTGTTCTAGAGCAACTGCCGTTTTAATCCCCAAAACTTAACCTCAATATCTGAGGGAAAAAAGCATGCCTTAGAGATTATTTCTACATTCAGGCATCAGGAAGTCACTGATAAAAGAGAGTATACAATTTTCTTAAGGAAAAAATTTATGACACAGGTGATTCAAAGAGCCGGGTATAAAATCATAGGCCAGGGAATTGGGCTGAAAACAATAGAAAAAGCATAAGCCAGGTAAAACCAGGCTGAGTTGAAGCCTGCATGAAAGAGCTTTCTGTACTTGTAAGATCATGGGAAGTGCTAAATGGCCTTCAGAAAATGAGAAAAAGGAAAAGGAAGCTTCACCATCCTGGACCAATAGCCCAAAGGGGACTGTTTATAGTGAATGGCAAGGCATGCTGGGTAGGGATGGTTAAGAGACTGTCACTGCTTTGGGATCCCAACCATGGCTCACTAATCATTGACCTTGGGTGAGTGATATAATATCTCTGAACTTACAGTTTTTGTCTGTAAAATGGGAGCCTGAGGGGATGTGCACACTGTGCCTGGAGCACAGGGAAAATGGCTGGCTATTTAAAAATAATTCAGTGATGAATTCCCTTCATTCTCTTTGGAGGCATAAGCTCCTGCCATTTTATCAAATTGCCTATCTCCTAGCCCACCGTGACATTGAAGGTCATACAAGGTAGACTGTGACTTAGGCACAGCAGCTTCTGGGCTCTCAGTGGGAGTGGTGAATAGTTTTCCTTCTGGTCAGGATAAATGGACCCCAAGTGGCAAATTTTTAAACATCATAGTTTCAATTTTTAAACATCAATTTGCCTTAAGAGACAAAGGTAAATCCTTCTCAAGAGCCAAGGAACTCAGTAGATTTCCAAGGATTGACTGCAATGCTGCATTTGTGTTTCACTCCAGATGTAAAACGCTGACTTTGTAAATGTGGGTTTTCCTTTAAAAATAATACTGACATCCATTCATGTGAGTGCTGTTTGGCAAGAGACAGGAAAGTAGAGAGTTATTTTTAGTGTAATGTGACTCTTAGCAGTGATTGAATTCACTTAATAATCATAGAACCAGATAGGAACAAGGTGAGGCAGGGGTTTTGAATGAAGTCTTCCACAGGAGACTTTTGATATATTAATGACATTCTTATAAAAATAATGCCCTTATAAG